GCTGGGCCAGGCACTGCCTGAGACCCCGGAGCTGCCACCCTGGGCCCCTCCGGCACTCCATGGGCCCGGCGATCCTGCTCAGAAAAGCAACCCCACCCCCACCCCCACACAAGGCTTCCCCAGACCCCGTGCAGCCCCTGGGCCTTGCGCAGCGTCTGCCCCTCCCCTTACCCACCTCCTTCCCCCCTTGCGGGCTGCGATTGGCTTGTTCCCCTCGGAGGCCTGCAGGAAACCAGATAGACCGCGACCCTGGGTACCCCAAGACGGTGGCGCCCCCATGGCGTGCTTCAAAGTGAAACAGCACGACGAAGACCACGGCGCTGCTTTTTTCCCACTATGGCCCTGGAGAAAGCCCAGAGCCGGCCTCGTCTTCTTGCGGCGCGGCTGGCGACGTCACCCTCCCTGCGGCCACAGCGCCTCCGTGGGACCAGGCTCGGTCACCGCTGCGGGGTATCCCCGTGCACGTCACACGCTCCCCAGGGACCTTCCGGCGCGCGGAGGCCCGCGGCCGCGCTGGGCAGGGCGGCGGAGCGGGAGGTGGGGAACCCGGGGTCGCCGCCGTCCGGCCAGCCCAGCGCGGAAGGGAGCCCGAGCCTCCGCCAGCTGCGGGGTCTGCGGCCCCTCCTGGCGCGCGTCCCGGAGCCCCCGGCAGAGGAGGGGGCCGCCTTGCGGGGGGCGGGCGCGGCGCGGCTTTGTCGTCGGGGGCTTCGGGCGGGGAGCCACGGCGTGACCGACGGGCGGCGGTGGCCGCCAGCCGAGGGTCGGCCGCGCATTGGCTGGCGAGTGTGGGAAAGAACGCGGAGCGAGGCTCTCACAACCGGCGGGCGGCCTTAAATAGCCGGGCGGGGGCTCCTGGCGGGGCGCACGCCCGGCACTGCGGGCTCCGCGGGCCCGCAGACGGCGGGGAGGATCCCAAACGAGCCTCAGAGCGCACCGCAAGGCGGGTGGGGACCTGACCGGGTTGGGGCGTGCGGGGAGGGCGGAGGAATGCGGGCTCAGCCACCGCCCGCCCGCAGCCCTCCAAGCCGGTCCTGAAGACGCGGCGCCACGCTCAGCTTCGGACGCGTCCGGAGCCGGAACGCGGGGCCGCCGCTCCCACCTGGTCGCCGCGCCAGGAGAAGGCAGAGGTCCCAGAGAGGCGTGTGCGACCCTCGCAGACCCCGCGGCTCGTGCGCGCCACCGCCGGCGCCTGCCGCTCCCGCAGCCGCCTGGGGCAGGTGCACAGCCTGCCTCTGCCCGATGAGCGCTTCCTGGCCGGCCTCGAGGGCACACGGGCCGCCGCGCGCTGCCGCCAGCTCGGCCACCCCGCCTCCCTGAGGGCCTTGCCGGCGCGGCCTGCTGGGACTGAGCCTGAGGGGCCGCACACTCGGCGGGGCCTGGCTGTGGAGGCGCCTTCCTCAGACCAGACAGCAGCCGGGCTCCTGCTGGAGTTGGGACCGCGGTCATGGCCCACGCTGTCCCAAGTTTCTGGCCGGGACCTCACCCCTGGGGCTGTGTGGTCTTTGGACAGACCGCGGTGCCACTGCCACCCCCAGGCTTCACCCCGCCCCGCAGCCCAGATGGGCAGAAGGTGATTGTCACTGGCTGTGCAGTGCTGGGAGGCAGCAGGGCTGTGTGGCTGGGCTGGGGCCCCCGGGGCCCTGGAAGGCAGAGACCCGCAGTCCTGGGCGGAGGAGAAGGGTTAGGGATTGGCCTCCTGCTTTTCCCTCTGGATAGCACAGCTGCGTGCACAGCCAGGACAGAGCCTGCCAGGATCCCCTGGTCGGGTCGGCAGACAGGGAGTGGGGCCGCTTCCTCCACAGAGCCACCTGCTTCCGGGTGTGGCGAGGGTACCAGACAGGGCCAGGCGCCAGCGTCCCGCCCCTCCCCCAGCCAGTGACCGTGAATGGGCCAGGGCAGCAGGTGCAATGAGGACCTCCAAGGCACAGGAGCTTGGGCGGGGTCTCAACCCCAGCTGCACTGAGACCACGGGGCATTTGTCACCACTCACCCTGGGCTGGTCCATGCCTCCCCCAACAGCGGCAGTCACCCCAAGAGCCTGGTGAGCCCAGCTGTCTGACCAATCCCCTCCCTGCCCTGGACACTGGCACCGGGCAGCTGTGTGGGCATGGGGTGGTCTGGGCCTGCTCGTGGCTGGGCTCCACACACCCTCGGGGATAGGGGTGCCCCTTCCTTGTCGCCCCAGCAGTCTGCCCTGGACACTGGCACCCAGCCACCCTCCACTGCCTGCAGAGGGGGGCACACAGCCTCTTTCGTGCGCCCCTCGGGCTGCCCCATGCTTGCTGTCACCAAAGCCCTCTGCAGTGGGGAGCCCTGTCATCTCTCAGGCTCTGGGGAGCCACAGTGCTCGGCACCTCCTCACCTCTGCTCTTCGGCAGAGCTCTGCCCTGCAGGCTCCCTGGTGCATTGCCAGCCGGCTGCGCCCCCACCTCGTGCTCAGCACCTGCCTTAGACAGCAAAACCCAGTCCTGACCAACCTGCCGGATGGGCGAGTTTGAGAGCTGGAGCTGGCAGGCTTGGGTTGCTCTGGGGCCCCCCAGGGAGGGCTCAGCAAGCACAGGGCAGCCTGAGGGGAGCACGCGAGGGGCTGTGTGCGCCCCCTCCCAGGCTGCCCGTGTCAGCTGTCGAGGGTGGTGGGGTCTCTGACAGCCAGGATCCCCGAGGGACCTGCTTCCCTTCCACTGCTTGGGCTGAGCGGGGCGGGCCCCGTGGGCTTCTGCAGGGGTGCTTTGGAGGTGAGGGCTGTGACCCCAATGTGGTGCCCCCCACAGGGCCCTCCCACACCCTCGAGGGGCGGCAGGGGGATGGGCTCCGGGTGGCTCCCTGTCGCTCTCCACCCCTAGCTGCTGCTACTACTGCTTCCATTTCAGAAAAGATGGATTTATTTGAAAGGCAGAGTGATGAGACAGGGAGAGACAGACAGCGGTCTTCCACCCTCCAGTCCATCCACCAAATGGCCAAAACAGGTCCAGGCCGGGCTGAAGCTGAGCTGGGAACGCCATTCGGGTCTCCCACGTGGTGCAGGGCCCGAGCACTGGCTGCTTCCCCAGGCCGTTAGCACAGAGCCGGAGGGGGAGGAGCAGCCGGGCTCGGTGTGTGCTGCGGGGGCAGCTGCACCGCTGCACCGGGATGCCGGCCCCAAGCTGCTTCTGGGAGCTGAGCGCTCGCAGCTCACACGCTCTCGGCTTGGGTGACTGCAGCTCACTGGCAGCACCTGGAGCACCACACACAGGGGCCACGGCCCACACAAGAAGCCCACGGCCCACACAAGAAGCCCACGGCCCACACAAGAAGCCCACGGCCCACACACGGAGGCCCACGGCCCACACACGGAGGCCCACGGCCCACACAGAAGCCCACGGCCCACACATGGAAGCCCACGGTCTACACATGGAGGCCCACGGCCCACACATGGAGGCCCACGGCCCGCACAAGGAGCCCACGGCCCACACACAGAGGCCCACAGCTCACACACGGAGGCCCACGGCCCACACACCAGCCTGTCTGCTCCAGGCCCCTCAGAGCCCTGACCCTGGCCCTCAGAGTGGCTGGCCCCTAGCCCGCCTGGCCGGTGCTCATCACCCTGGACATCGCAGTGAATAGCGTGTGGTCGTCTTGGGTCTCCAGGCCGAGTCCAGTCGCGGCCCTGATGATGGTGCAGTGGGCAGACTGGCTTCTCTGGGGGGGCTTCCCGCACCTTGGGGCTGCCCAAGGTGGGACCCAGGGACAGGACTGTCCACGTCCATCCAAAGCAACTCAACTTCAAGCTCCACTCTCCACATTTCTGAAACACTGGATACAATTCTGGATGTCGTGAGCTTCCCAGGAGGGCAGGCAGGAGGCGCAGGGGTACGTGGGTGGGGCCCGCGGCGTGCACAGTGTCTCTGGCTTCTCACTCAGTAACACCATTGCAGGGGAGGAGGCTCCTTGGCTACAGGTTCAGCTGGGCTGTGCCTGGCACCCAAGACTTGGTCCTGAGAAGCTGGCTCCTGGTTTGGGGTTTTTGGTCTCAAGGTCAGCGGTGTGAAAGGGGCCGCGTGGCTTCATGATGGGGGGCCCATCCCGCTCTGTTCCTCCCCCTGGGGGTTAGGACCCTGGATTTCCCAGACCCGGGCAGGGCCAGGGGAGCTGCTGGCGAGTCCCAGTGGAGTCCTGCTGCCCTCTAGTGGCGCCCGGCGGTAACGTAGGTGAGCGCCTCTGCCCCTTTCCAGCCTTGTCCTGGAGTCCCTATAGCATTCTGGTCCCGCGGTCCATCTGTCCATCTCTCTACCCACTTCCAGGCCATGCAGTCCATCTGTCCACCTGTCCACCCACCGGTTACAGCCCGGCACCAGCTCTGCTCTCTGCCAAGAACGCACGGTGGCGCCCTGCGAATGCCTGGGTGAACCTGAGAACACACCCCCGACCCGCCAAAGGCTCCTGCTTAGGTTGGGAGCATGGGGGTCTCCCCAGCCAGGCCCACACTGACCTCTGCTTCCTCCTCCCAGAACTCCCACAGCTGGGCCCCTGTTCTCCCACGGGGACATCAGATCAGACCCCCCAAAGCTTCAGGTCTCAGTCAGCCCAAGGATGGATACTCTGGGGGCTAGCCCACTCACTCTGTGACCCAGGACACAGCCCTGGGGTCCACATGGGAAAAGCATGTGTGGCCTGGCCCTGCCCCATCACAAAACTAGGAAGCACTCCCCAAAATGTAAGTCTTCACTTTGGGGTGGGCAGAAGAATGAGAGAGGGTGGAGGGAGGAGTGTTATGTCCTCAGAATTGTGTCTACAAACCATACTGAACCTGTTAAAAATTAAAAATATAAAGGGCTTAGAAAAAGTTATAAAGGGTTCCTACTCCAAACAGAACAGAAGTGCTGTCCACAGAGGAAAAGGGGTACCCTGGGCTGAGTTAGGGTTAAAGCTGCTGTCCATCAAAAGAAAGTGGACATTTGAGCCAGGGAGAAGGCACCACAAATATGCTGGAGAAAATCATTTCAGGCTTTTGTATAGTGGACTATCCTTTAAAAAAAGATTTATTTATTTGAAATGCAGTTACACAGGGGGAGAGAGAGAGAGAATGAATGAATATGGATCACTCCCCAGTGCCCCCAACAGCCAGCTGGGCTGGGCCAGGCAGAAGCCAGGAGCCAGGAGTCCACCTGGGTCTCAGGCACTTGGGCACTCTCCGCTCCTCCGCTGCTCTCCCAGGCCACAGCAGGGGGCTGGGTCGGCAGTGGAGCAGCCGGGACCTGAGCTGGAGCCTGTCTGGGAGGCTTTGCCCTCTGCATCACAGCCTGGCCTCAGGGACTTTTTTGGCTTTTTTTTTTTTTTTCTTTGAGAGGCAGGGAAAGAGCGTGTGAGCTCTCATTCACGGGTTCACTCCCCAGATGCCCACAATGGTGAGGGTTGGGCCAGGATTGCAGCCAGAACCCAGGAACTCGGTCCAGGACTCCCATGTGGGCGCAAAGACCCATTCCTTGAGCCATTGGTGCTGCCTCCTCGGGTCTGCATTAGCAGGGGAGTCCAGAGCCAAAGCCGGTCTCAAGCCCAGGGCCTCTGATCAGATCTCACCCCTGGGAAAACCCCAGGCAGCAGCAAGGCTCACCCAGCACCCCAGCACCGCTGCAGACACAGCTGCAGAGAGGAGCAACTCCATCCTCGTCCATGGAAAACAGTGCAGCCAGGTAGAGCCCACTGCAGGGCGTCCACTGCAGGGTGTCACATAGTGTCCACCACAGAGTGTCCGCTGAAGGGCATCTACGTAGCGTCCACAGGAGGGCGTCCACCAGAGGGCATCCACATAATGTCCACTACAGGGTGTCCACGTAGTGCCCACTGGAGGGTGTCCACGTAGTGTCCACTGGAGGGCATCTGTGGTGGAATGAGAAGGCCACAGCACCCACAGCAGGGCAGCCCCGGCAGTGAGGCAGGAGTGAGGGGCACAGATATGCACGGCCTCATGGGTTCCATCCTGTTTGTGTGGCTTCCAGGCCAAGCCAAGCTGGCTGCTTGTGGGCAGCTGTGGGGTGGACTTGACCTTGGGGTGGGTCATGCCGTGGCAGCTGTAAGCCTCTGCCCCACGGCCTCCCCCTCCTGGCCCCTCCTCAGCAAAGCACCCTTCCAACCCCTTGTTGGGTGCTCACTGCCTGCTGCCACCCCATCCCCCACACCCCTGTGCTGGCCTCTTGCCCTGAGCTTGGGCCCTGCTTGGGCCTGTGAGCCCCAGGCCAGGGTGCTGGGGGTGGGGGTGGGGGCAGGGGCCCACTCTGCCGCTTGGGACCCAGCCCTGCCCTGAACTGATTTGCGATCCTGCGCGGAGCTTCTGCGAGGAGGAAGCTCCAGACCCCATCAGCAGGTGGACAGAGGGGCTTGAGGGGGCCTCGTGCCTAGACCCCCAGTTTCCAGGGAGAAAGGCTCCCTCCCCTCCCCCACCCCGCCCGAGGCCCAGGTCAGCAGGACAGAGAAGTTCCAGAGGCTGGGGTTGGGTGCAGGTGGGGAGGCCTGGAGTGACCCCAGGGCACAGGAGGCTGCCAGTGCCTGCCCAGTGTCCTCTGACAGATGTCTGCGCTGACCTTAGACTGGCCCTGTGCCGGGAGGACGTCCCTCACTCAGCCGGAGGCCCCACAAATGCCATCTATTTGTGGCCTGCACCCTGGCTCTGGCACGTGGCCCACGTGGCCACAAGGACGAGGTATTTTTGGCTATAGGGGTGGAGCCCAGCACCATGCCGCCCTGGGACGTCTCAGACACCCGGCTCTACTGCACCAGCCGGCCGCCCACCCAGGTAGGACACCATCAGCTGCGCGTTTCTTCCCAGGGCACCCTGGAATGGAAAGCCCCTCCCCTAGGCCTCTGAGGGGCCAGGGGCCTCCGGAATCCCCTGGACTGTCTCGAGTGACCTCCGACCTCCTGGGCAGTGGTGGGTGACCAAAAGCCAAAAGGCAGCCCCTGCAGGGGGCCCAACTCATGGACAGGGGCAAGAAAGGGGCAGTGCACAGCTGGGCAGGCCTGGCCCAGGTTGCAGGGTCATTCCTTGCTCCATGGTCTCTGGCACGGGCCTTTCCCGCCGACCCCGGCGCTGGTTCCTGCCAGACCGAGCGTAACCTCAGTGAGCTCAGAGGGAGCCTGGCACAGGGGCCATCTGGTCAGCTTGTCCCTGCCAAGGCTGCTGCAAGGTCACGGAGGGCTGGTCACCTGCTGGACACTGTACCCCTCCCCGTGGCTAGCTGTTCTGGGGCACACCTGGGGAGCCCATGCAAGGGAACCGGCCTCCGGTGGCAGTCCCTGAGACTGGCCCTGTCCTGTAAGGTCCAGGGGGACATGGAGGGAGGGAGGCGGGGAACATACCTCTGGCAGCAAAAGCTGGGAATGAAAGTCCTCTTCTGACCGTGCTCTGTTCGTGAGCGACCCCTGACCTCAGGGGCGGGCAGCAGGCCACTGTCGCTGGGAATAGGGAAAGAGTTGGGCGGAAGCCAGCAGGCGAGCCTGGGGACTCAGCTCTGCTTCCTTTCAGGTGGGGGATGGAGCCCCCAGGGGCAGGCGGGGCGGCCTCAGCCCCCTTCCGGCCCCAGGGGCTGCTGCCCCTGGCACACCTCTGCTGATGTGACATGGAGAACTTCCAGTACAGCGTCCAGCTGAGTGACCAGGACTGGGCTGAGTTCTCAGCCACTGCCGATGAATGTGGCCTTCTGCAGGCCAGCCTGGCCTCTGGAGACGAGCCCTTGTCCAGTGACATTGACCAAGGGGACAGCAGTGGCAGCAGTCCCCCGGGGCCCCTGCCCCTCCTCTCTGGGCAGTTGGCTCCAGTGGGGAGCTGTTGGCAGGGCTGTGAGGAGGAAGACGACGTGGCAAGTCGGCGGCTGGTCAGCAGGTCTCTGTGCGAGCCTGCCCTGGCTCCAGGGCCCGGTCAGCAGACACTCGGCACGTCCGCACGGTCAAGAGCTTGGCCGCCCCTCGGCTCCGGCGCCACTGCTCCTGGACAGCGCTCATCCCTGCTGGGGCCAGCGTTGGGACACGAGATGCAGAGGCTTTTGCAGGGCCCGGTCCCCGGCCCCCCTGGCGAGCCCCCAAGGAGTCCGGAACCGACTGGATGCAGCACTACCCTGCAGAGACCCCCAGACAGCCCTGGACCCCCACCCCGGAGCCCTGGCCGAAAGAAGAGGCGCACCATGGGTGCCAAGGGGGGTGGGCGCGTGGGAGCCCTGGGCCCAGGTCCTGCCCAGCTGGGCCCCCTGCTGCCCACTGAAGCCAGCCTGGACGAAGGCCTTGGCCTGACTGGGCCCAAGGGGAAGGGACTCAGGGCGGGGACAGCAGCGTTGACAGCAGGAGCCGGGCAGGACCGGCTGCAGACAGACTCCAGAGGAGCTCCTGAGCTAAGCACGCGGCGAGAGCCGGACTTGATGCTGCCGGCACCAGACTGTGTGCTGGAGGGCCCTGCAGGCCCATTCAGGGCCCCCGTCAGGACTGAGCTGTGTCCATCATCCACACCTGTCAAGGAGGTCCACGCAGACATTGCAATGCCGAAGCCAGATGTCACTCTGTCTACACCCGCCTCTGAGCCTCAACCCAACATGGCTGGGTCTGCACCCGCCTCTGAGCCTCAACATGACGTGGCTGGGTCTACACCCACATCCAAGACTGAATTCAATGTGGCTGGGTCTATACCCACCTCTGAGCCTCAACCTGACATGGTTGGGTCTACACCCGCATCCAAGACTCAACCTGATGTGGCTGGGTCTACACCCGCATCCAAGACTCAACCTGACATGGCTGGGTCTACACCCGCCTCTGAGCCTCAACCTGGTGTGGCTGGGTCTACACCCGCCTCTGAGCCTCAACCTGGTGTGGCTGGGTCTACACCCGCCTCTGAGCCTCAACCTGACGTGGCTGGGTCTACACCTGCCTCTGAGCCTCAACCTGGCATGGCTGGATCTACACCCGCATCCAAGTCTCAACCTGATGTGGCTGGGTCTACACCTGCATCCAAGACTCAACCCGATGTGGCTGGGTCTACACCTGCCTCCGAGTCTAAACTGGATATGGATCTGCCCACAGCTTGCCTTGTGGTCAAGCCAGAGGATTTACCTACACCTGCCTCGGTGGCAGCGTTACCAACCGCTCCACCTCACTCCGTTTCCGAGGTGGAGTCGTACGTGGGTGTTTCTGCAGCTGCTCCCAGGGCAAACGCTGCAGCACCATCCCCAGGCCCCTCTCCCCAGGCCGGGCTGCAGACGGGGGGTGCTGTCAGGGAGCAGGCCACAGGGGCGCCCTCGGCAGAGGCTCCTGCACAGCACTCGGGGGGGCCCTCCCTGGGTCCTGCTCCAGGTCCCAGGAGGAAGAAGGTGCGGTTCTCCGTGGCCACGCCCAGCCCTGGGGAGCCAGGGTCTGGAGGGGTCTTGAGCCCACGCTCGCCAGTCGCCAGGACCATGGCTGGGGGCCGCCGGGGGCTGGGGACCTGGGACTCTGCGGCCATTGGGACCCACCCCCCACAGCCTCGGATCCTCAAGCACCTGCCGCCCCCTGCCCCCTCCTCCCCGGGAGGCTCGGGGCCTGGGATGGGTTTTGCGGTGACTCTCCCGGAAGCCTACGAGTTCTTCTTCTGCGACACCATCGAAGAGGGGGATGAAGATACAGAGGGGGAGGCAGTGGGCAGCCAGGCTCTGGCCGAGGCCCAGTGGCCAGACATGTGTGAGTTCTTCTTCCGGGACTGCGGCAGCCAGAGGCCGAAGTCCCAGCAGGGCTCCCCGGCAGCCCCGGCCCCGAAGGCAGAGCCTGTGCCGGCCCCGCCCCCCGGAAGCCCTGTGCCCATGTCCATCCCCGAGGCCTATGAACACTTCTTTGGAGAGGACAGATGTGGGGGTGTGCTGGGGCCATCTAGCCCACTTCAGCTGCACACTTTGGAGCCCCCCAGGCTGGCCCCCTGGGAACTGAGGCCTGGGCCCCCACCAAAGCCCAGCCCTGGAGCAGCGGAGCAGCTCAGCCTGGTGGTCCGGCAGGCAGGTGCGTGTTGCTGGGGCCCCACAGCCCCGTCCAGATCCCGGGAACACCCTGTCCAGGGAGCTCAGCCAGGAGGCCACTGGGGAGGGCCAGAGCAAGTCCCTGGGTCTTCCGCCAGTGGGAGGGCCTTGGAGCCAGGTCGGGAAGGAAGGACCAGCTGCTGCTGCTTGCTGGACACAGGCGGGAGCCCAGGGCCGGCACTGTGGCTGCTCGGGGGTTGGTCTATACGGCCTGCTGCCCCGGCCTCTAGCAGCCTCAGGCTCAGGCTCCAGGAGAGGACATCTCAGCCCCTCCGAGACGACCACAGGCCAGGAACAGCACCCAGGGCAACTCCCCCAAACTGCTGAGTCACCACCCGGCGTCTCAGGGATGACCCATCCTGGAGGAGACGTGACTCAGAAGTGTGTCCAGGACACACGTGCCTCAGGACAGCATGTCCCCTGCAGACGTGTCTTGGGGAGCAGTGCGGGGCAGGCGTGTCCGGGGCAGAGCGGCTGATCTGGAAAGTTGCTTCTCTCTCCTAGGGGAGCTCCGGGGTCCCCTGACCTCGTTCACCTTCAGCCAAAAAGACATGTGCCTAGTGTTTGTGGCCTTTGCCACGTGGGCTGTGAGGACCTCAGATCTACAAACCCCAGACGCCTGGAAAACAGGTTTGAGGGCGGGGGGTAGAGGGCGCTGTGCCTGTGAGCCGGACGGGTACGCAGTGGGGGGCGTGGTTCCCCTGGCCTCACCTCCGCCTTTGCTGGCCCATTGCCTCTGCGCGGCTGACCTTCCCCGACCCTGGCCAGAGCTGGCCCTCAGAACCTGTGCTCCTCTTGCAGTCCTGCTGGCCAACATCGGCACCATCTCCGCCATCCGCTACTTCCGTCGGCAGGTGGGGCAGGGGCGTTCCAGCCCCAGCCCCAGCCCCAGCCCCAGCTCCAGCCCCAGGCACAGCCGCAGCCGCAGCCCCAGCCCTGGCCGCAGCCCCAGCTCCTAGAAGCCAGCCCTATCCCAGGAAGACGGGGACAAGACGACCACAGGTGCCCGGACAAGGTGCTGTCCTCGTCCTTGCCCTCTGACCCCAGGAGGGGCCAGTGGCCTTAGATCCCACCTAAGGGTGCAGCCAGGGGTCAAGGCCATGGTTGCTCCTCACACCTGGAAGGGAGGCAGTTTGGAAGTTGGGCACTGAGGGGTGGAGCAGGGGGGCCAGATGAGCAAGCAGAAACTCGGGTGTCCGGTTAGACCTGAGTTCCAGACACGCCATGCTGGGGAGTCCCTGCAGTTACTGATCTGAAAGAAACTTTAGCTGGGCATCCTGCAGATGGCAGGCAGAGGTGCAGAGCAGCAAGGCCCCCGGGGTCCTGGCAGGGCTGGGACGCCCGTGTCTTCGAAGCTGCCTATGGGTGCGTTCCAGGGACTCTGCCTGCACACACTGGGCTGGGCTGGCCGGGGCCTCTGAGGCCTCTCCCATCCCAGAATCCCCAGGGACCCTGGGCTGCAGCCAGAGCGAGCGAGCAGAAAAGATGGTATTGGATGGGGGAAGGATCCCTGGGACGGCCCCAGGGGCCCCTCGGGGCAGCTTGCTGGGGCTGAGGGTCTAGGTGAGTCGGAGGCGGGTTGGGAAGGTGGGTGAGGGCCGTGGTGGTAGAGCAGGGGCTGAGTGGGGCCTGGCCCAGGGCAGTGAGGGACCCCTGGCTGCTGGAAGGGAACAGAGCACCAATAAATCTCTTTCTTCCTGGTTTATGGTATCAGTATCTCCCCCCAGCCCCCCAGCACCCGCCTGGGAAACACTGGGCCCAGCCCCCCTCGTGCCTCAGGTCACACCACACCCACTCGTCACCCTCATGCCCTTTAACCTCACAAACCCCGGCCCTGACCCTGCCAGCCCCACCCCGAGGCCTCTGGGCTTCCCCACCTTGCTTCTCACCCTCACTGCCCCCCAGCTCCAGGTGAGCCTGGGCGTAGGGGGCAGAGCTGAGGGAGTCCAGGGCCTCCCCCGAGTCCTGGTCAGTCACAGTGTCCAGGACATGCCCCCTCTCCCCCACAGAGCCCGGCAGAGCCTTCAGAACTCAGGGGCCAGAGCCTGACTCAGGATCGGTGCAGGTGGAAGGGGCGGAGTAGCTGCAGATGTCCCTGGCTGGGGCTGGCCGGGAACTGGGAACAGTGGGCAGTGCCCCTGCAGAGGGCCTCAGATCCACTGGGTGAGCCCACCCTCTGCTTCAGGCCTTCTGAGCCGGGGCCACTTCTGGTGGGAGGGAGACGGGGCCTGGTCCCAGACGCTGTCGTAGCTGGTGCCCTCAGGCCCGCCATCTGGTGGACAGGGCAGAGATGAGTCAGCCTTTGGGTAGCAACACCTGGAGCCCACCCTCAGCGGGGTGGGACCCTCACTCACCTGGGAGAGGCGGTGGGGGGCTGGGCGGGTCTTCCCTGGCAGAAGAATCCTGGGAACCCAAACCACAAGTCTGAGGCCCCGGCAGGGCTGGGCGCTTGGCAATTCCCTGCCCATCCCTCAGCCTCTCTGCGGCCCTCCTCCACGTGCCCCTCTCCTGCTGCTCAGAGCCCCAGGAGGCCCCCATGGCTCCACCCCAGCACCCAGGGACCGGGGCCTCCTCTCGCCAGGCTGGGGCTGCAACTCACGAGCTGAGGGGACCCTGGAGGCCGTGGCCCTCGGTCCTTGGTGGAGCCTTGATGCCTCTGAGGGACTCGGGGCTGCAGGACCCCCTTCTTAGAGGGCATACGGGAGCTGGGGAGCCCAGAGCCAGGGCCAGACACAGGCACAGACACGGGCACTGCGGGGAAGGGGCTGGAGGGCTCACGTCCCGGCGAACTCCGTGCGGCACTGAGGAACTGCCAGGAGAGCGCGGGTGACTGGAGCGTGGACTCTGACCTGCTCGGCCTCCCAGCAGAGCCCAGGGTGACGTGCAGCGTCCAGCCCAGGCTCCAACCCTTGCGCTCCCCACATCCTCCCCCGTCTCAGGCTGTGGGCACGGCCGGCACAGGACTGACCTCATTAAGGCTGCGGACATCCATGATCTTGCGGTGGGAAGTGGCAGGGGGCGTGTAGGGGTCGGCATAGAGTGGGGAGTGTGGTGCCTCCACTGGGGGCTCTCCCTCCAGGCCCAGCCTGCTCACCTACGGGAAAGACAGCCTCAGTCTGAGAGACAGTGGCCAGCAGGCGGAGTGCAAGGGAGCCGGGTAGGACTGCACGCTGGGCCCACCTTGCTCAGGTCCAGGTGCAGGTGCCGTGGTGCGGCTGGGCCCGGCCCTTCCACCCAGGCCTTCCCCCTGGGTAACCGGCTGCTGCCCGCACGTCTCAGCTCTGCTCTCCGCCAGCCGATGCTGGTGCACTCAGGGTTGGCCTGGTCCTGGGGAGACTGAGAAATTTCCCCAAAGTTCCGTGGGACCCCTCCCCACACAAGTCCCTGAGGATGTCTAGAGCACCCTCCAGTTCAAGCTCCCCCCTCCGAGGAATCCAGTCCAGATGGGGGAGGACCCAGGCCCCTCCATGCCTCATGGATTCCTGACCCCCTGGAGTCCTCACTCAGGCTGGACAGCACCAAGCCCTTGGGGGCAGAGTGTGGCTGGTGAAGGTAGGGGGCTCGTGGAGGATCAGGAGCGTGAGTCTGGGCCACCCCATGACCCGGGCAGGAGGGCGTGGAGCCAGCTGCCTCGACCCCTCTCCCCACCTTACCTATGTCTGGTTCTGCCCTCTGCCTCTGGCTTTTACCACTGTCCAGGACCTGGCTGCAGGGTCCCTGTTGACTTCTCACCTGCGCAGGCCCCAGGGACCCCAGGACATCCTCAGGGCCAGACAGCAGGGGGGCCCCATCCCGGCGGGAGACTGCCCGGAGGCAGAGCAGCCAGTGGCTGTAATCCTCGTAGCTGGCACACGCCACACGGATGGTGTTGATGAGGTGGCCTGCATGGACACATGAGGCCAGAGCCTGGCAGGGCGGGTGTACCACACAGGGCCCGCTCAGCAGAGCCGGGGCCCCAGCAGGCTCTGGCCTCCCGCCCGTGGCCCCGCCAGGAGGGGCAGGGTCCAGATAAGCACCCACCTTCGATCAGGAAGGAGCGGATCTGTTTCTCCTTCTCCTCCAGGTTGATATGGATGGCGCTCAGGGGGAGCTCTCCCTGGGGGGCAGTGACTAAGGGCAGGGCCTCCATCCTGCCATCTGGAGCCGGGCTGGGCACTCAGCCTGGCATGGAGGCTGAAGGAGGCCAGGCTGCCCCCTCCCACCCAGCCTCCTGGTGGGGCCTCACCACCCCATGGGGCCGTGGTACGGCAGCCCCTGGGTGTGAGTGCAGACCGCCAACAGGCTTTGGCCCCAGAGGACACGCGCACACACACACGCATACACACACACACGCCCCTCAGGCGCCTGGAAGACATCACTCAAAGGCACCTGGAGTGAGCCCCACCCCTGCACCCGTCCCAGCACGACAGACCGCTGGCTGGGCACCCTCCAGAGTGAGATGGGTCACTCAGATCAGGATCCTCTCTCCCCACCGGAACCAAGACCAGACTTACTGACCAGGGCAGTGGGGCCTGGTGGGCAGGGCCCGTGCGCTCTGTCCCAACAGGCCCCGAAATACAGGTTCCTCCTGAGTTGCTGCCCCCTCCCACCCCCACACACCGGGCGCCTCCCTGGGTGGCTCCACCACGGGTGGGAGGGGCCTACCTTAAAGCTAAACCCGTCTGGTTCCTCCGAGAAGATGGCCAGGGACGCTGGGTACAGGACCAGGAGCCGGTCCCATTGCTCCTGCAGGGGGATCAGAGAGGATTCTGGGCCCTGAGTGGGGCTTGGACCCCACACCCACACCCTCCTGTCCCCTCCTGCCCACCTGTGAGGGCTGAGGGGGCCCGCCTACCTGGACCCTCCCATCCCCTCCTGTCCACCTGTGAGGGCTGAGGGCTTTGGCGCCCCCACCTGGACCCCCCCGTCCCCTGCTGTGCACCTGTGAGGGCAGATGCTGCAGCTTGACCCTGGAGGCACAGATGGGGGCACCTGCTGGTCCCGGCCCTGGCGCTGTCCGCAGTCGGGTCAGATGTTGGTGCAGTGTCCAGGGGGGCTCGTCCCCAGGGGGGCTCTGGGGAGAGGGAGGTCTAGGGCAGGCCAGGCAGGGGTGGGGGTGGGGAACAGGTGCAGGGTTTCCTGGCACTGACCTGAGGTGGCGCGGAATGGCAGCGGGGCAGCCCCCTGGCGAGGGCCATCTGCTTCTCCAGGTGGAACAGCCAGCGGCTCAGCTCAGCCTCGCCAGGGCAGAGCACCAGGAGCGGGGCAGGCAGGGGGCCTGGGGAAGGGGGCAGAGCAGGCTGGGTGGGCTGAGCCTGGAGCCCCCAGACACCTGCAGGAAAGACCCGGGACCCTGGCCAGACCCCACCCCGCACCTGTGATCTGGAACGCGTGCTCTCTGGACCCCTCGAGTGGGCAGACACTCAGCTCGGTCAGCGGCAGCAGCCCCTGCCAGGGCACAGGGAGGAGGGGCTGCAGGGGCTCCCAGAGGCCACGGCCCCCTCCCCCGGTGCTCCCCTCACCTGGAATGTGAGTCCTTCAGAACCGTGGGCCTGGAAGTAGAGGTGGGCAGGGAACAGCTCCAGGTAGCAGTCGCTGGTGTCCTGGGGGGAGCAGTGCTGCAGGTCTGAGGAAGGGCCCGGCCGCAAGGCATCTGGGCCCCAGGGCGCGGCCCCCCAGCCCGGCCCCCACCTGGCTGTGCTGGGACCGCAGCTGGACCTTTGCGTAGTGCACGACCTTGCCCAGGGCCCTCACGGGCACCCTCCGCCTGGCCTTCTTGTACACGCTCAGGAAGGGTGGCTCCAGGTTCTCTTCCTGGTCCTCCGGGTCCAGGGTGTCCTGAGGGGGCAGAGCTCAGGGATGCGGCCTGACCAGAGCCAGCAGCCCAGCAGGGGGACACATGGCCACGGACACTAACCTGCAGCTCAATAATGTGCACAGAAACACGCATGCACACATGCACGTTACACACGGACATGTACATGCACAAGGACACACGTGCACAAGTGCCCAGGGACACACGTGTCCAGGGACACACGTGCACACGTGTACATGGACACATACCTGCACAAGGACACACATACACAAAGATACACATGCACATTGCACAGGGACACACACGCACAAGGACACAATGCACAGAGATGCACACATGGACACACCCCATGTGCACAAGGGCATGTGTGCACAGGGACACACGTGCATATATGTACAAAGATGCACATGTACATGAGGACACACATATACATGTGCCCAGGGACACACATGCACATGTGCACAAGGATGCACCCTGCACAGGGACACACATGCACATGTGCACAAGGATGCACCCTGCACAGGGACACACGTGCAGGTGCACATGGACACACCTGCACAGGGAATACACACACTGCACAGGGACACACGTGCAGGTGCAGACCCTATCCACCACCTTTCACGCAGCACAGTGCAGGGTAAGTACACAACACACATGGGGAGTCCCACAGATAACACAGAGATGCCACGACTCCTGGCACAGCCCTGGTCAAGCCTCTGGCGCAGCAGTAAGGGTGCCGCCCGGTCAGCCCCTGCCAGCCTGTGCCGCTGCTCCAGCTCCCCATGGGGCACCCCAGGTCTCAGCAAAGGCCAGGATCCTGGCAGTGGTCGGAGGGCTTCTCCTGGAGCTGTGCCCCTCCCCACTGCCTCCCCACGCAGGCACAGGCCCACTCAGCCCTAGCTCCCCACCTGGGCCCCTCTCCGCTTCTGCAGACCCCAGTAAGCCCCTCTCCCACTGTCCCCTCCGTGGCAGCCACACTCTGACTTCCTGTGTCTCATCGTCGGTCTGGCCATGGCAATGGGAGCACCGTGACAACCAGACGCCATGGCAACTGGGCACTCTGCCCGTCTTCCTGGCTGCTGTGACCCTAGGACCTGGGACAGGGCTGGGATGTGCGGGGTGCCAAGGCCCACGTGTCCAGTGGCGGGCAGGAGGGTGGTGCTCACACAGCCCTCCACTGGGCACTCCCCAGGGCCTGTGCCCCGGCTGGGGCTGCGGAGGCCGAGGGGCTCGCTGCCAGGGGTCACGTGCCCCTGGGTGTAGGCAAGGGCCACCTGCTCAGCAGCTGTGCTCTGGTCAAACTAAGCTGCCTCTTGGACAAGCCCAGGAATGCGGACAGCCGGACAGACACAGCTTCCCCAGCCTCCCTGCCTGTGGGTGGGGCCTCCTGCACCCATGCCGAGTGGGGGCTCATGCCAGGATAGCACCCGTGAAAAACAGGACATCCGTGGGCAGGGCCACACAGCTGTCCCCGCCGCACAGGGGACGAAGCCTGGCACAGAGCTGACCACAGGAGCCGAGGCTCAGCCAGGAGAAAACACTCTGTAACTACCTAGAGCTCATCCCCTCACCCCGGGCGGCCCCCGTCCCGGGTCCAGGCCCCTCTCCAGCTGCTGTGACCTGGCAAGGTAGGGTCAGTAGGGACCGCACACTATGGGAGCCCCTCAGGGGTGACCATGTAATGTGGGTCTGGACAGATGGACTTGGGGTCTGAGATGCGGCCCAGGGGGTGACCCTACCCAGGGCTGGCACGGCCAGCAGAAGCCCCCCAGCCACGAGGGGCAGTGGGAGGGGGCCAGGGAAACCAGGCACCAGGCGGAACCTGCCCCCCCGGTGGGCGTGTCCCTGGTTCCTCCTTGAGTCCACCACCACCTGGGGATGGGGTTTCTGCTGAGGAGCCCTTGGTCCCACGGGGGCTTCAGTGCCCTCCACCAGGTCTGTGGACAGCCGCCTGCAGTACGTGAGGCCCTGTACAGGCACTGGCCAGCCCGAGCTGCCTGCAGTCCAGACCCTGGTGCAGTGGCAGGGAGGCCCCGCCCACAGCCCGCCCCTGCGGGGTGCTCATCTCTGAGTCAGCCCCGCCTCAGTTTCGCTCTCCGACTTTCGGGACAGGAGCTCCCCAGGGCGGGGCTGCCTCTCCCTCCCCACTGTGATCTGGGCCACAGCCCCCCTCCAAGGCTGACCCCAGCCAGGCACCGCACAGTACACAGTCGCCCACACGCGGGGACATGGCAACAGAGGGGTGCTCACCGGCCCAGGGAGGTAGTGGAAGATCCTGTCGGCTGCGCTGTCCCCGGCGCCAAGCAGGCTGGCCAGCTGCCTGCGGCCGTCCTCCCTGTGGACAAGCCCAGGGGCTCAGAGCCCGGCCAGCTGGGCACAGACCCAGGGGGCCCCAGCCCCGCCTCTCACCTGCTTCCCTTGAGTGACGGCTTCCTGGAGAAGGACGCCCGGAGCCTCCTGGGGGCCTGGGGGACGCACTGGCTGTTCCCCATGGGTGGCAGTGACCAGCCAAGGCTGAGCAGGGCGCCGAGTTTGGGTCCCTGTCCTGAGCCTCCAGCCCCCACCCTGCCCAGGGGGCGGGGCTCTGGGCGGTCCTACCCCTACCTGAGAGCCAGGCTGGGAGGAGCCCTTCTGGGAGGGACTTGGCTCCCGCAGCCAGCCTCAGGTGTGAGGCCAGGGGCCACCTCCCCAGAGAGGCGAGGCCTCATCTCAGCCTCCAGCTCCGCCCCCCAACATTCTGTTTCCACATAAACCCCAGGTGGTCTGAGTCACTGCTGAGGGGAGATAGGGTTAGGGTGTGCTAGCAGCAGGGAGGGGAGGGGAAACCAGGACCTGTCCCCCCGCCCCCAACCCCAGGCTGCAATCCATATCCCAAAGGTGCCCAGGATGTAAGGGTGAGCTGGGGCCCACTCTGCGCAGGCAGCTGCACCCAGGCCTGGGCGTGGGCGGCCAGCCACTGGGGCCTCACAGCCCACTGCACCCCACCCACAGAGCAGGACATGGGGACAGAGGGGGCCAGGGATGGACACTCAGCCGCAAGTCCATGGAGCCCCAGAAACACGTTTATTGTCCACATCGGCTGTATTGCTGTGTAGGATCTGTGTGCCCAGCCTGGCACGAGACCCAGGACATGGGGACGGCACCCCAGGGCCAGGAGCAGGCGGTGTGCAGAGCAGGCCAGGGTTGGCCCTCCCCCCAGCATAGGCTCTCAGGAGGTCACCCAGGGTGGTTCGGTCCCCAGACCCAAAGGACGGCGACGCTTTAAAAGTAAACAAACGGCTCATCCGCAAATAAATAATAAACCAATAAATAACCAATAAATAAACGGCACACACAGAGATGAACACCGAGACACTGACAGACGGCGCGGGGGGCCGGGAGAGGGGGCGTAAGGCACGTGGGAGGCCTCCGTGCGGGGCGCCGGGGCTCAGAGGCTGGTGGAGGACACAGACAGCGTGGGTGAGGACGGGGGCGGGAAGTTGAGCAGCTCCAGCACGGCCACGCCCACACTGCTGCGCCGGGTGAACATGCAGGACGCGGCCACCCACTTGTTGGCCCGGGGGTTGTACTTCTCGATGGAGTTGAGGCTGGAGCTGCCGTCGTTGCCCCCTACGGCGTACAGCCAGCCGTCCATGGCCACCAGGTCGTGCGTGCTCCTGGGGGTGGCGGGGGTTAGCCCCGGGGCAGCGCAGGGTGAGCCCTGACCACCGACCCTGGCCCGCAGACCCACCTGCGGATGCTCATGGGCGCCACGCTCTCCCAGGCTGCGGCCTTGGGGCTGTACCTCTCTACCGAGTTGAGGCAGCTGGTGCCGTCGTTGCCCCCCGCCACGTACAGGGCTCCCTCCAGCACAGCCACGCCCGCCGAGCTGCGCCTGCTCAGCATGGAGGCCACGGGGGTCCAGGCGTTCACCTGGGGCGGGCACAGCACCTGCTGGAGGCAGACTCTCCCTGGGCAGCCTGCCCCTCCCTGGCGTCTCTGTGAGACAGGGGAGGGAACCGCCGGGGGACATGGGCGGGGCAGCTGTATCGGGGGTGCGCTATGCACCTGGGGCTCATACTTCTCCACGGTGGCCAGGTGTGACGAGCTGTCGTAACCGCCCACGGCATACAGGTTCCCATCTGCAGGAAGCCAATGGACCTTGGTGCTCCTGCTGGGTGTGGGAGCCTGGGGGGCAGGGGGTAGGCACAGCACACAGGGACCCTGTCACCCACCAAGAGTGGCCACACGCACGTAGCGCCTCCGGGTGCTCATGGCAGCAATGGACGTCCACGTTCCGGTCAGGGGGTCGTAGCGCTCGGCACTGTGGGCGCCAGAGCACCGCTGACCCTCGGCAGAGCCGGCGGGCCCACCTGGGACCTGCTCTCCCTCTGCACGGCTCCCAGCTTTCCACCTGAGCTAACAGATGGAAACCACCAGGGGGCACAGCCACTAGATCTGGCCGGGTGTGCACCTGTGCTCAGCCCCTAGGTGGTGGAAAAGGCCTCGGGAAAGTGTCCAGGCCCAAGAGGCCTCGGGAATCCCTCCTTGTTCCCCTGGGCAGAGGCAGCCTCACCTTGGCAGCCTGAAAGCCAAGGGCCCCCACCCCCACCCCAGCTACTACCTGTTGAGGCAGGAGGCCCCGTCATAGCCACCTGCTGCATACAGGAGCCCGTGCAGGGTGGCCACGCCCAGGCAGCTCCGCCTCGTGCCCATGGACACTTCGGGTTGCCACGTGTTGGTCACGGGGTCGTACGACTCCACAGTGGCCAGGTCTGAGGTCCCGTCATAGCTGGGGAGGGGCCGGGTACCGGTCAAGGCCAGGCGGGCAGGTGCAGAGCCCTGACCCGAGGCTGGCCCTGTGCTCACCCGCCCACGGCGTACAGCCGGTTCCCAACGGCAGCCACTCCCACCCGGGCCCGGCGCGTGGACATGGAGGCTACCACGTGCCAGCGGTCAGTGCGAGTGTCGTAGGCCTCACAGTCCCCGTGGATGGCAAACAGGCTTCCACCTCCTGGGGAAGGGGTGGTGATGCGGCTCCAGCGCAGCCAAGAGCGCGGGGGGAGGCGGGGTGCGGTGCATGCTTGGGGCCCCTGGGTGGACATGGGCAGGGGCGGCGTACCCACAGCAAAGAGCACAGGCCCAGCGCCCTCACAGCGCCGGGGCCGTGTCCGGCTGGTGCCCAGGACACCCCTCTGCTCGGGCAGCAGGTGGAACTTGAGGGCCTCGATGATCAGGTCCTTGCAGTCGGGGTGGTGCCTCACCAGGCTCTCAGCGTCCACGTGGCCCAGCAGGAAGTCTCGGCTCAGCAGGGGCAGCCGCACACACTTCATCAGCTGGGGAGCGGGGTGGGGGTGGGGGCACCAGGGTCAGACAGGACCCTGGGCAGAGCTGGCTGCAGGGCTGACACCCGCCCCGCCACGGACTCTCGGGACAGGAGCAGGGCGCTCCCCACCTAGGGCCCGGACACGCGGCTGGGCCACCGTGGGAGCCTCACCCGGGGCACGTGCTGCCGCCTCGCGTCCACGTCGTGCTTCACCCAGCTCAGCACAGCGCGGTACACGTCCTCCTCCGAGGGCACGTTCAGGCTGTCGCTGGAGACCAGCTCCAGCACCTGGGGGCGCCCAGACCTCAGGCTGCCAAGCGTTTCCCGGGCCCAGGGAGGCCTGGAGGGGCGGGGGTTCAGGGGCAGGAGCGGCCCCGCACGGAGGCCCCGGCAGACACTGGACGCAGGACCGGGCCCCGCACCTGTTTCAGGGGCAGCAGCATGAACTCCTCCGTCTTGGCCACGTCGGCGAAGTGCTGCAGCACGTAGCTGTGGGCCGCGCGCAGCAGCTCGCCGCAGGCGTGCGCATCCGCGAAGCCCCGGATGCCCAGGCAGTTGGAGGGGTCCAGCTGGCTCAGCAGGAACTTGCAGCAGGCGTCCCGCACGCCGTTGAGCTGCAGAAGGCTGGCGGCCGGCAGCAGCGTCTGCGGGGCAAGGAGAGGAGCTGGGGAGGCCCGGGGCGGCGGCGGCCGCGGGGGTCGCGGCCCGACGCCCTCACCTGCACGTTGCCCTCGCCCACCACGATCTCGGCCGTGTAGGCGAACTGCACCAGCTGGTCCAGCGCCTGCGGGTCGATGTCGTGCAGCGTCACGTGCGTCTGGCGGCTCTCGCTCATCTCGTCTGTGGGGATGGCGGGTCAAGGGCGCGCGGGAGCCCCGCACGTTCCCCGCAGGAGCCCGCACACCCCCCGAAGCCCTGCGGGTCCCGCACAGCCCTGGGAGCCCGCGCCGCCCCTGCGGTACTTGCTCGTGAACATGGCGTGGAAGTAGGGGCTGCACGAGGCCAGCACCACCTTGTGCGCGCGGATCTCTGTGGCCGCCACGCGCAGCACCACGTCGCACAGCAGCCCGCGCTGCCGCATGCGGCTCATGGCGACGAAGGCGTCGTGGTAGTGGCGCTTGGAGTTGTGCGCGACGCTGTGGCCCTCCATGGGGGCGGCGGGCCGGGGCTGCCGGGGCCGCGCGCGCTCCGCCTCGGGGCTGCGGGCGGGCAGGGCCGGGTCAGCGCCGCGCGCGGGGGGCCCCCGGCGCCCCGGCTCAAGGTCGCCGCGAGTCCCTGCAGCCCGCCACCCTCGCTCCCGCGGCCGCGACCCCTACTCACGCCGGCGGCGGGGGCGGCGGGGGCGGCGGCGCCTCGGGCGCGGGCCCTGGGCTGCCGTGCTCCGGACTCTGCGTCCTGCCGGCCGGGCGCTCGCTGCGCGGCTGCATGGATTCGGCCGCCGGACCGCGGAGGACGCGCGCTGAGAGGCACCGCCGGCCGGAGGGCTGCCGGCCCCGCGTCGCCCGCCGCCGCCGCCGCCGCCGCCGCCCGAGCGCCCGCAGCCGCTGTTTCTCGGCGCCGCCCGCCCCGCCGCGGCGTTCCCGGCGGCGTCAGGGACCCGGGGAAGGGACGCGGGATCGCCGCCTCCTCCTGGGAGCGCCCCGGGCTGCAGCCCCGCTTGGGCGCCCCTGCGGGGGAGCCGAGGGTCCCCGCTTGCCTGCCTGCCCGCGAGCCCACCCGCTCCGCAGGCTCGGGGGCGCGCCCGAGCGGGGTTCTGTCTGGGCCGCTTCCCAGCCTCTCTGCGTCCGCGTCACGGCCCCGGCGCAGCCCGCACCGACAGGGAGGCGGGGGGACGCCCGCGCGCAGCCCCGCGCTCTGCGCTTGCGTGGGCGGGGCGCCCGGAGAGTCGCCGCGGGGGCTTGGCCGTCGGGGACCCCGAGGGCGCAAGGCGCTTTGCGCCGGTGCCCCGCGCTGCGCTCGTCCACGCCCGTCCCTCGTTTGCTATTGATGTGTTTGCGCTCTTTGCATGGGGATCTCCGCCGTCGTCCTTCGCAGGGCGCCGCGCCCCACGGAGGAGGACAAGCAACCGCGAGCTGCCGTCGGAGTCCGGCCCCAGGCGCGCGGCACGAACGCGCCCTCCCGCTCGAGGGCCGCCGGTGTCGTGGACCGAGAACCACAGAGCCGCCCCTAGGGGCGGGGCGAGGGCGGGGCCGGGGCGGGGCCGTCCGGAGGACGTGCGTCCGGCGCACGGCCTTCTGGGGCCGGAAGTCGGGCGCACGCGGCGGGCCGGTGTCATGGCCGCATCGCGGAGTCGTAAGAGGTGAGGGGATTCGCCTCCCGCGCAAGGGAGCGCAGCTTCCTCCTCTTGGCGGTGCTGGCACGGTAGGGATGGGGCAAGCCCGGCTGGGGGCGAGCTGTGACCGCAGCGTCGCCCGCAGGCGGTTGGCAGAGCTGACGGTGGACGAGTTCCTGGCTTCCGGCTTCGATGCGGAGTCGGAGTCCGAGTCGGAGCCCGAGGCTGCGCTGGAAGCCGAGATGCGGGAGGCGCGCGGAGCTGCCCGGAGCCTGGGTGCACCCGGCGGTAACACCGTCAGGTGAGGGCGTGCGCGCAGAGCCCCCTTCGCCCCGGCCCGCTCCGCCCCGAGGCCGCTGCCCCGCGCCGGGTCCCGACCCTCGGTCCGCTCCGCCCCGCGCCGGGTCCCGACTCCCGGCCAGCTCCGCCCCGAGGCCGCTGCCCCGCGCCGGGTCCCGACCCCCAGTCCGCTCCGCCCCGTCCGGGGTCCCGACCCTCGGTCCGCTCCGCCCCGCGCCGGGTCCCGACCCCCAGTCCGCTCCGCCCCGTCTGGGGTCCCGACCCTCGGTCCGCTCCGCCCCGCGCCGGGTCCCGATCCTCGGTCCGCTCCGCCCCGTGCCGGGTCCCGACCCTCGGTCCGCTCCGCCCCGTCCGGGGTCCCGACTCCCGGCCAGCTCCGCCCCGAGGCCGCTGCCCCGCGCCGGGTCCCGACCCTCGGTCCGCTCCGCCCCGCGCCGGGTCCCGACTCCCGGCCCGCTCCGCTCCGAGGACGCTGCTCCGTCCTGGGGTCCCGATCCCCGTTCGCTCCGCCCCAGGGCTGCTGCCCCGTCTCGGGGTCCCGACCCCTGCCCGCTCCGCCCCACCCGGGGTCCCGACCCCCCGGCCTCCCTCCACGGCAGGCCTTTTCTGCGACGGGCAGGGGTCTGCGTCTCAGGCAGGTGGTGGCGGCTGGCCGGTGGGAGGGAGAAGCGGCAGCCACGAGAGGGAAGACAGCGGGCGGTGGAGGCAGCGTCGGGCGTCCTGCTCCTGCTGCTTTTCTCTGCTTGCTTGCTTTCTGCCGCTTATCTGAGCGCTGGGGCAAGAAAGGGAGGGAGGGAGAGATTTTCCATCTGCTGGTTCACTCCCCAAATGGCTGCAGCAGGCTTGTCTGGGCCGATCCTGATCCAGGAGGCCGGAGCTCCATTTGGGTCTCCCATGCGGTGCGGGGTCCAAGCACTTGGGCCGTCAGCAGGGAGCAGGCGTGGGACGCTGACGTCCCCAGTGCCGGCCCCCCCCCCCCCGCGCGTCGCCCCCCAACCCCGCGTGGCTGTGGGAGGAGAAGCTGGAGGTGGGATGAGGGCGGATGGTGGGGATGGCAGAGTGGAGGCGAGCCGCTGTGGGAGGAGCCTGGACCTGGGGCCAGGCCCCTATCCCGGAGCTCATGGGAGGTGGGACGCTGAGAACGGGGTGCAGGGGGTGTGGTGGGCTGAACCCTGCGAGGGAGGAGTTGCTCCCGTCCGAGGCCAGCACAGCCTGCCTGGGGCGGCATTTGGTGTTTGTGCGTTGGGCTTGGGGTGACCGTGTTGAAGCAGTGCCCGGGACCCTGAGTCTGCGCCCTGAAAACTGACTTCCTGGGGCACTGTCTGCGTGCTTGCTCCAGGGGCAGGTGTAGGCTCCGGGGAGGCTGGCGGTGTGGGGGACGAGGAGCCCCACCCTGCCCCTGCTGGGGGGTCTTCCCTGGACCCACTGACCGCCACCCTCTCAGGAGGGGGAGAGGCCGGGCCTCCGAGCACAAGGAGCAGCTGTCTCGCCTGGAGAGCAGAGACCCCGAGTTCTACAAGTTTCTACAGGAAAACGACCGGAGCCTGCTGGACTTCAGCGACTCGGACAGCGAGGACGAGGTGGAGCCGTCCCACTCCCTGCCCGACAGGCTGGAGGTGAGGCCCAGGCAGACCCAGGCTGGGGTGGGGGCGCCTGTGTCTCTGCCCTGCCCCAGCCTGGCCCTCTGACTGCAGGAAGCGAGTGGCGAGGAGGACGGGGCAGAAGAGGAAGAAGACAAGGGTGGGCCCTCCAGGGGCCTGCAGGGGGAGGAGGGCTCTGTTCCTGTGACCCTCGCCCTGGTTGAGAGATGGAAGCAGGCAGCAAAGGTGAGGAGCGGCACTGGGTGGGGGCAGCGGGGGTCCCTGAGCAGCCTGCCTGGCCTCGCTTGAGGCCCCAAGCCCACCAGTCAGTCCCATTCAGTGCCGTCCTCTCGTGGCTACGACCCGCCCCCCACGCCCGGTGGGTCCAGGGGCTCTGCCTTTGCCCTCACTGTGTGTCGGGGCCCCCGTGCCCCGGGGTCCGTTCCCTGGGTGGCCTCAGATGGCTTCTGTTGCTGTAACTGAGCGTCTCAGGCAGGAAGAAGGCTGCTGGCTCTCGGCTCTGGACGCGGGGACAGAGTCGGTGCCGGTGCCGGTGCCGGTGGGGGGCGTGGCCTGGGCGGCGGGAGCGTGCTAACCCAGACCTCTACAAAGCCGCCCGTGACCGCTGCTAACCCGTTAGCCCCTCTAGACCCCGTTCACCCGCACCTTTGAGGGCTCTGCTTGTGGACACGAGCTCTGGGGCACTCCAGCCACACCGGCCTGCTGGCGCTTCATGAGGAGCTGGCTGTGGGTGGGGAGCTGCTCAGGGCAGGGCCTGCAGGCCGGCTGCCCATCGTCCTCCATGTCCTCCCCCAGCAAAACCTCACTCCGAAGCTGTTCCGCCAAGTGGTGCAGGCGTTCCGGGCAGCAGTGGCCACCACTCAAGGCGACCAGGAAGCTGTCGAGGGCAGCAGGTTCCGGGTCACAGACAGCGCTGGTGAGCCGGGCAGGGCCCCCGGGCCGGGCGCTGTCACCCCGTCCTGGCGGTAACGTCTGGGTCCCTCTTGTTGCAGTGTTCAACGCCCTGGTCACCTTCTGCATCCGAGACCTTTGTGGCTGTTTGCAGAAGCTGCTGTTCGGGAGGGCACCCAGGGACAGAAGCAGGTGAGCGGAAAGGGGCGCGTGGTGGGGGCGGGGCGTTGGCATGAGGGACCCCCAGAAGAGGCACTCGGGTCGGCTGGGGTGGCCCTACCCTCTCCTTTCCCTGCGTTTCCCAAAGAGGGTGGTGTGTGCTCAACTCTGTCGCGTGTTTCCAGGTCACAGCGCAAGTCTTCCATGCTGCGTGTTGCTCGTGCCGGCCTGTCCCAGGAGGCAGGCACGGGTGCAAGGGGCCTTGGTGCCAGCGCAGGAGTGGCAGTGGAAGGTGGAGAGGGTAGCAGCGTGGCCATGGCCCTGGGAGAGTAGGGTGTGGTGGGCTGGGGGTGCACGGCCACACAGCAGCAGGGGCTTCGCAGGGGAGGACGAGAGTTCTCCGGGGGCTCTGGGGTGCAGCAGCAGCCTGGAGCTGGGAGCACCTGGTAGTGGTTGGACCCTACTGGCCGTCAGCAGGGTGTGAACTTGTGCAGGGCACACAGAGGGACAAGGAGCTGAGTGGGCAGCGGTCACTGTGAGGGGGTGGCTGGGATGTAGAGCTCGGTGCAGCCTCTGGAGGGGCCTCTGCCCTTGTGCCTGTGTTTCCGTGGATTTCACGTGGCACAGTGCGTGGGTATTGTCAGTGCCCCAAGAAACTCAGGGGTCATCTGCTTGCTTCCCTAGGCCGAGGACAGCGGCTCACAGCTGCAGGTGGCACCCTCGAGGGCCCCTGCAGAGCTGGGGTGCCTGACCTGGTGGGGGTGGGGCAAAGGGACCGCAGAAGAGGCTGTATCGGAAAGAGGCCCCCAGGGCAGGGGTCCCACAGGGCTCGAGAGTGCGCAGTGTGGTTGGTCTCCATTCCCTGGCCACACTTCAGAGGCCCTGTCTGCCCGCGTGTCGTGGGTGTGGGCCGAGGTGTGGGCTCGCCAAGGCCGCCGCGGGCTGAGGCCCGGGGCCTTGTGCTGACGGGGGTGTTCCCTGCAGGACTCTGCAGCCGTCCAGCAGCCCGCTGTGGGGTAAGCTCCGCGTGGATGTGAAGGCCTACTTGAGCTCCGTCGTGCAGGTGCACAGCGTCCCTGGCTTTTCCTGGGTCCCGGGCCTGGGCGTGTGTGGGCCTCACTGTCCCCTTCTGCCTCCCCAGCTGGCCACCTGCCTGGCGGAAGCGACGGTGACAGCGGCGGTGCTGCAGCACGTCAGCGGCCTGGTGCCCTACTTCCTGACCTTCCCCAAGCAGTGCCGCATGCTGCTCAAGGTGGGCCTGCCTGTCCCCGTCCCACAGGGCCCCATGGCCCCGCAGAGCCCTGACGACCCTCC